ATTTTTTTTTTAAATTGGGATGCTTTCATGAGTTGGCCAGGAAGTGCCTTCTGAGTTAGGTTAAAGAGAGTCCCTAATCCATTTCGTGGGCCTCTTCTAAGGAGTAAAATCATGAGTAGTTTTCTGTTTTTTGTTTTGTGTGTGTGTTTAGAGACAAGGTTTCTCTGTGTAACAGCTCTGGCTGTCCTGAAACTCACTCTGTAGCCCAGGCTGGCCTTAACTCACAGAGATCTTCCTGCCTCTGCCTCCTGAGTGCTGGGATTAAAGGTGTGTGCCATCACCTCCTGACAAGTAGTTTTACAGAAGAGAAACAATGGGGCAATGAGGAAATAAAAAAAAAATCTTAAAAATCATGTGGTCACCATGTGATTAGGAAGGGGCATCTCACTGAACTTAAGCCTCTTCTCAAAAACAAGTCTAGGTCTTGGGTTGGGAAGGTCAGTTTCCAGGAAACAGAGAGCACCTCAGCGCTTACAGTAAATGGAAATGTATTTCACAGTGCAGCATAATGGCCACTGCCTTCAAAATGGAGTCAGGCAGGTTCCTCAGAGGGAGAGGGAGAGAGGGAGGGAGAAAAGGAGAGAGGGAGAGAGGGAGAGACAGACAAGCATAGGTATAGAGAGGGAGGGAGAGAGAGACTTTTGAAAAGGAGGAGAAAGAGGGTGTGAGATGAAATACTTTTAAATTTTTGCATGAAGAGTGTCAGCACTTTGTCCTCGTGGTTGATACTTTAGCTGAGTATAGAATTTTCTGTTCAATTCAATTCATCAGTTTCCTTCAGTTCTTTAAAAGCATTGCCCCACCAGATCAGGATTGTTGATAAATCCAATACAAATCTGATCTGATTCCCATGGAATGTTTTCATAGGATGTTTTTGTTTTCCTTCTTTCTTTATTGATGTAGTTTTGGTCTGTGGATCTTGTTATCTTTTTACTTCAGAATGGGGAGGGGTGGTGAAATGTGGTATAGTTGCATCTACTGTGGGTTTCCCAAAAGTTTTTACACATGCTCATTCTAAGTCACAGACACCTCCCCTCATCGAAGGAAAGGGGAGCTGGAGCGATGGATCCCCAGTTAAGAGCTCATCCTGCTCTTACAGAGTACCCAAGTTGAGTTCCCTGCACAGCTCACAGCTGCCTGTGACTCCAGCTCCTGAGGAGATTGGACACCTCTGGCCCTCACGGGTACCTACACATGTGTGTGCATGCACACACACAACATGCATACACGCATGTAAAAGTATATCCCTTGGTAAGGGGAAAAGGTAAAGACAACTTCTCAACACCATTTTCATTAAGGATTCTTGAATGGTTTGGTTTCCAGAATTTCATTTACATAAAAAGAAAATCCAGTAACCCTTAACCAAATTACATCTTCAAATTTTATTTTGAGAGTATAAAAAGAGCTCAAATAATTTAAATGATAAGAATTCGATTCTTGAAAAAGAAAAGGTTTTAACGCCATCATTATTTTATTAACCTTGGAAATTAAAGCTAATTTGTTCTTCATTAGCTTAAAAATTAATATTATTGAGACATATCAGGGTCAGGTTTAAAACGTGACATCCCATTGCAAAGTCTTACATTTCTTGCCACCCAGGATATTCTTTGAAAATAAAGTACAAGAAGATAAAGAGAGAAGAGAATTGGAGAGGAGCCCTGAGGAGCCCGTGCTCGTGCCTTCCCCTTTAATGCCACAGCCACCTCCGCCACCTGCCCCCAAAAAGAAAGGACAGAAGCAAGGTGAGGGGCTGGTCGTCTTCCAACACCTTTAGTTGCAAAGGCATGAGGAGAAAAGGCTGGGCTTTGGGGTAGGCAGTGCCCAGCCAGGTGCTGTCCACCTCCCTTGAAACTGTTACGTTGAGGGGACAAGGATTTTATTCCACTTTCCCTTCACTTCATTTGAGAAACAAAATGATTGTGCTCTTATGCGTAGGGGAGCGCTGACTGGATAAAATCCCTTAACCAGTAGCAGTGGGAGAGAGGGGGTAAGAGGAGGTGGGTGCATGGAGGGCAGGGATTTGCATCTCCCTGAAAGTTTCCATGAGGCAAACAAAAGCCATCCCACACTAGGTGGTGGTGGTGGTGGCACGCCTTTAATCCCAGCACTCGGGAGGCAGAGGCAGACAGACGTCTATAAGTTCAAGACCAGCCTGGGTTACATAGAGAAACCCTGTCTTGAAAAACCAAAAAAGCAAAGCCATCCCATAATAGAGTCTGCTTTGATAAAGGCAAGTTCTATGATCTAGTGGCATATCTGTTAGACCCGAGAATCAAGAGGAGAAAAGACCACATCCACAATTGTCCAGTTAAATCATGCAGTATTTGGGGGTCCACCTGGGACTGACCAGGTGGCAGTCTCAACCTAAGCTGAGATTTGAGAGAGCAGCCCCTGCTGGCCTCTTGAGGTCCTTTTTGTAGGAAAGATAAGGTGTTCACAGGGCGAGAGAGTTGGCTGTTATACTTTGCTAGAGAAATACGATGAAAGAGAAGGACCATGGGTAAGGAAATACATCGTGGGAGTGGGGTCGCAAGTTTAGTGTAGGTTGAAAAACACATTTTGCAGTTTACAAAAGAAATGTATTCTCAATTTCAAGTAGAAATCATAGCTTGCAAAGGACTTAACACAGGACACACAGGAACTTATTCTTAACTGTCTTTTAACTGCAAACAGAAACCTTAACCAGCAAGGGTATATTGTTCTGTTTTGGTTTCACATAGCACTTAGCATTTGTTTTCTGAAGCTTTGCTTCAATCTGACTTCTGCTCCCGTTTACAAGAGTGCCAAAGGTGGCCTCTCCAGTATGTTAGTACTAGAACTGCCCCTAGTATTGTATTTTTATCTCCTAAGGACTCATGTCTTGTTTCCTTCAATTTGCCATGACTGCCAGTAGCTTACATGACCCTAGGCACACCTGGACACTCGATTAAAAAGTGGGTTTCATTAAATAAGAAAACACTAGCCAGGCGGCGGTGGCGCACGCCTTTGATCCCAGCACTCAAGAGGCAGAGGCAGGTGGATCTCTGTGAGTTTGAGACCAGCCTGGTCTACAGAGCAGGTTCCAGGACACCAGGGCTACACAGAGAAACCCTGTCTTGGAAAACAACAACAACAATAATAATGAGGAAGAAGAAGAAAAGACTGGGCCAGGAAGGAACGCAGGAGTCGAGGAAAACAAGGATCTTCATTGCATTGCTTCTGCTGCTGAGGTTCAGAGAAGAGAACAGAACTGGCTTAAGCAAAAGAATTACATCAGATCTATCTTTTCCCAGAGGGTGTGAACGCTGCTGAGCCAGAGGTGGGGTCCGGCAAGGAGCTTCATTTTGAAACCAGAGTGAGAGCTT